CAGTTTGTGCCTTTTGCTTGGGATAATGATAAAACGTTCATGGGGGAATGTATACACAAGCTGTTTATCTGTTGTACCTCGATGATGGTTCCAGAAATGTACAATTCACGTGCGTTTGTACCATTTCACACCAGAGATCCATATTCTTGCTGAATATTGTGACTGAGAGCCAAATGTCTTCATTTTTCCAACTCCAGCATCCAGAAACAACAGACTTGTTTGAATGCGCCAAGCTAACTCCCGGGACTCCTTGTCTGCCGTTTCCGCGGGTCGTGACAGCCTTGTGTTTGTTGAGTGTAGGATTGCCCTGCCAACTTCCATGATGAATAAATCCTCGGCTTTGATAATTAAGCGGTTGTAGTCCAATGAACGTTCTGTGTTTCTGGATTTAAAGGCATATTTTACAGCTTGTCTCAAGTTTGAAGCCAGTGTGTACCTTTCGAAAATTATGTCAGGCCTTACAGTTACAACTGCATATTATTCACTATGGCGTAAACAACCTGAGGGCATGAACCGGAGGAAGGAAAAGGTAGTGGAAGCAGAGGCAATTGAAATTTTCTAACCTAATTTCTACATACGGAGGAACTTTGTCCGTTCTTTTCCTCTCTTATGGTCTTCAGCTTCTAGTCAAACGAAGTTACGATAGTTTCGTTCACATTCATCAAGATAGACATAAATGTTCTCTCTGCTTGCATCGGTACCATCGTCCTCACGACTGCCAAACTCTGTCTTAACTTCGTTTTCATATCTTGACCCTCATCTCGCGACTGAATCAGAATCAAAGCTCTTTGTTACCTAGTTAATATTTGGAAGTGATTTTGCTTTCATCTGTCTTTAGATACATAAGCGGCTTACTCACACTCCCGGAACTAGTTACTGCTGAGAATTTACGAACTTCGCAAAATCCCGTTTCTGTTGTTATCGCCTTTACTGTTATCTTCTATTTGGTGTCCCTAAATGTACACACAGGACTGAACAACTTGCAACTGCAATCGTAAGGCTCGAGAAGAATATGAGAAAAATACGTATTCGCTTTTAACTCCCCTATCCATCGCAACCGGAGTAATTTCATCATTTTCAGAGTTATTCAAAGCGTTTTCAAATTTGGCACCGCCGTCGTTTTCACTAATAGTTCCATGTGATGTTGAAGTTCGGTTTTACTTTTGCATTATATCCCCGTGAAGTTTCAACTTTTGAGACAGCTAGCCAAGAATATGCGTCATATTTTGGTAATGAGGTATCGATCGCCACCGTCAACCACCAGGACTTCGAGGTGAGTTACCCACTTATTGGCCGTGTTTCAGAAACACAAAGTTGATACATATATGAAAACTTCTAAGACTATGTGCAGTGCACGAATCTGCAGTGAGTGCGATCGTCAGCGCGCCGAACGGGAGACTAGCTCAGCTTTCCAGAGAGTGAAATATGTCTGATCTTTATTTATGAATATATATCGCCCCTTCAGAACACTTTTGAATGTATGCAGCCAAGAATGTCATCATATCAAAAAGCAAAATGAATCGTCTCTGCCTAGTTATAATATACCTTTGGCAAGAACAGTACAGATGGACAGGAAGATAACGTTGTTGCTCGTCATATCGTGCACAGTCATACTTGTTCATTGCAAAACTTCTATGCACCAACTCTAAATGTAGTCTAGAATGGCGTTCATCGGGCTTCTGCACGAAAGAAATTGTGTAGGAATCGGAGACATATCTTTTGTAGTAGGAATGCTTGAATCCCTCTACAGTGGTGTCTTGTCGCACTTGCCTCGTATCGAAGTGCTAACAAACCCAAAATAAATGAATAATGTGACCAACTATCAGGCGAACAAAACGCGGTGTTGGCAAGTGCTTGTAGAGTTACAATTTCTTTCCTTGCATGAGATCATCCACCAATGGATACGATTGTAATGATAACAAAAATAATAACTACAGCCCAAACAACATGATTGATACAGTATGGAACTTTCACCATGGGGTATTGCAGCAAACCCACTTTCAGCACGATATTTCTAAAAGGAATAATTATCACGTCAGTATAGCGTTAGTGATAACAGCATTAAAGACGTGAATGTGAGACAGGCAGTTGGTGCTGCATAAGCGTCTGGTCTTGCATCGGAAATGAGCGAAAAATCGAGTGCAATTTTGGTTATGGCAGTTCAGTCATCCAGTACAGTAATTCGCAATCCCGTACAAATCATCTAGGAGTGGTAATGTGCTGCAGTCCTGAATATTTACGAATCCATTTCTGACCAGCGGAACGCTTTTCCATCCTTTTTTCTTGGCTTGAAAAACGAATGGCTTGAAGATTTTCTATAAACGTCTGGGAGTACACGATGTGTTCAGAAAACATTCGAAAGTTCAAGACAACCTGAAAGGGAGGAATCTGACAGAATAAATTCCGTGGAAAATTTTTTGTTAGCTCAAGATTTAAGCTGACCACCATTCCGCACGTTGCCTCTGTGGATTGGCAACTGTATTCCCGTCGTTCAGAGACCTACAGCCAGATAACCCATAACATTTCTCCTAAAATAAACTGCGGACTTGATGAACACCATGTTCTTCTAGACTGTTTTCCTATTTGTCTTTCACTATGGCTGCTTGCAAGCAGGTGAGGAGCTGAATTCCTGGGTACCAATGCGCGTCGGTGTGTGTGAAATTAGCCACTTGTCGGGTGGTAGCGAACAACTGGCCTCTCAGAATAGCACAGTTAAATACTTCTAAAAGGCGATTAAACATTCAGTATGGAATCAGTGATGCTGATGAGCAGTATCCTTGGCATACGCTGTTCACAGGTACTCTTTGACTAATGCTGAACAAGATTCCTGCTCACTTCTAGTATCCTATATTGTTTCTCATTACAAAGTCGTCAGAATCGCGAGAACTCATCACTCAATGTCAGTAGCGCGAGCGAAGGAAACTGATAGTTCTTGATCCAGAGCGTCTAGCTCTTGAGTTTTGTTGTTCGGCCTAAACTAAAGCAGGCTAAGAAGTCTCCTCTACTTCCCGCCTTTTAGCCCAAGCGAGATGAATGTTTACATAAGTTGGCTTTTTCAGCTTGCAGATTGGGTTCGTTTAAAAGCTGCAGGATACTAAGAAGACTAGTTGTCTACCGTGACTACTCTCCGTGCGGGTGCACGAATACAAATAACAGGGCAGTGAGAAAAGGTACACTGGAATCTCGCGAAGAATAAAAAGAGGTTGAGTGTTTAGGTCACCACTACACTGAAGACATCTAGGTGTGGCCGCACCTAGGATTTGAGTGGCGTTGGCCGTGGTTCAGAAGTAAGAGCACCGAGCAGAAAATGTAGAGTGGCCTCCGCATCGGTTTCTTTTCCTTTGTAATCAGAGCTGATGCATAAGGTGGTGGAAAATATAAGTCGCAGATCTTTTTCCCATGAATCTTTAACGATTGCACAGTTACTCAGCACGCATCCAAATCCAATCATCCTTGCTTCTTGGGAGTTTTTATACACCATTTCCAACCATTTCAGGCTGAAGCTCAAGTCGTCCTGTGGCAACTAGCCCTCTCTTTCCTGCAGGCTGTTTTTCGGAGCTCCGCATTCAGCCATTTCCTTTACCAAACCAAATGTTTAAGTATCGTCAGTGGGGGGTGGATAGGTGATGAGAGTTTGTGCGAGAGACTGGGAATTGTCCAGGTGCGAACTTGACGGATACAGAACCCAGTCACTAACTATTCGTACTTATTTTACACCGATGAATAGAAGACCAGGAAAGAACATGACAGCGTAACCAGATGGGATAGCACATTTGCGAGGTCGTGCCATGACACCAAAGAGTTCCAACTAACTGGTCAGAGGGTCGATTACGAGCAGCGCAACGTAACACACCAGCATGCCAAGTGGCGTGTGCGTGTTGGATCCGGGGGCTTATGGCTAACGCTCTGGAGATTTGTTTTAGACAACTACAACTTGGCAAACAAAAAGGCAGTGGTAGAAGTATAACGAGTTTATTCCAAGCACTCTAGTGGGCAGGTCCAGCGGGCAAAATTTTCAAGTACATTCAGAGTTATTCATCATTCAATTGCGGTCAATAGTGAATATAAAGTTTACAGCAGATAAAAATCATAACCAAGTTTACTGAGCACTACAGATGCTAGACCGTGTGCCTCCAGCTAAGAGAGTCCAGTTAAACTATGAGGGTTAGCATTTATGTAGATCTCGTTTAACTGTAGGTTATTAATTCTGAAGGTGTGTGACGATCCAAGACTATGGGTGAACATCAGTAACAGAAGTGCTACCAAAGCTGCTCTCTAGGATGTTCCAAGCTAAATGGTGTGAGACTTACTCATGTATCATACATCATTTTGGTATGCGGACGGGTAAGAACCCTGAGATGAATGCAGTCTTCAAGTTAACTGAATAATTTCTTTGAACTATCGGCTAGACATCCACCCAGAGGCCCACAGTCTACGCATATGCGTCTGGAATACGAACTAAGCAGAGGAAATCAACTGTTGTTACGCCATTCCAACTATGTCACCTCTACAACAGTTTTCTTTCTACTGTAATCACTTCATGACTTCCGCTTGCCATGAATAAGTTTCACTTACCTTAGTACTTCATATCTTTGCATTCATCTCGTCTTACTTGGGTGTAAATAGATTACTCCATTGGTTCACCTTTCTTTGCCTTTTACTCACATACGCTTGTCTTTCTAGGTTTTCTCTTCACTATCCCTAACTCTTTCTGATGACCAGTCCGAACAACTGTCTAGCAACTCGGCATCTAAGGAACTCAACTGTTCCACAGTCCTAAGCAAACTAACCAACACTTAACCTCCTGTTCTATATACCAGAGCTATAGCAGACGATTGGCTGGATCTACTGCATCTCAATCCACCAAAGACCTGAAACCGTTCCGCAAGACCAAGAAGAAATCAACTGTTTTACACAAACTCGTTAAACAGATACCAGACATTATTAGATCGGTAAAAAGGAAGTGTGAATGTGCTTGACTTTTACTACTTGAAAATATTGTGCTTCTTTACAGCAACAATTCAAAGCAATGTGTTGCTATGACTAATCGTAATGCATTTGAAAGGCTATTCATGCACTTCCCAGCTTTAATCTTTCGATTGCCTCACCTCCTTTTGTGAATTTCAACCGTTTTTTAATGGTTTTTTATCGTCAAATGTGATTGCGCCCTGTTTACTCAGTGAGTTGTCTTCTCACTTTTTTCTCTTTCTATTTTTCCTTACAGATTCTCGAGGATCCCCCTAAATTCACTCTTCTCTACCCATCCCTGTACAACAACACACCTACCTATAGGCTGTATGAGAACGCATATCCAAGTAGTCGCTAAATAATGAGTGGACGACGAAAGCCTATGAAAAAGCTAAGGAATTCATTGGCGAAGGGTGCTCAGGAACCAAACAGAGTTGCTGGTATGCGAATTCTAAATAACTTATAAGTGGTTGTCGACACTTTGTGAAAGCAGTGTATCAGTTAGCTGAATTATATATATATATATATATATATATATATATATATATATATATATATATATATATATATATATATATATGGAAAACATGCTGGACTTCTAGCTTTTTTTCATCTAAATTTTTACGACACTTACCTGGGTGCTTTGATACAGAAACTAAGATTATGGGCAATGAAACATAAATACGACTTTCAGTTGAGGACTTATAAAATTATCCTGAACAATTAACATACCCTTGCAGATCACTTAACTGTTTACTTCCCACCTTTATTTCTCCTTTCTTGCAACCTTGTTTGGGTGAACTCAAAGAGGCCAGAAAGGGAAAAATTAAGTGAAGGGAAGCGAAATGAAGAGGAAGATATATGTTGAAATAAAGCTGTGGAAAAATCACACAAACACCTCAGCCCAACTTTCTTTCTTCACGACTGTCTCTTTCCTGCTTTACAATTATCTTCCTCAATCAGCTCATTCTCACTTTAACTCCAACTTACCAGTCCACTTCTCCCCCTTGAAGTCGCCTAGTTTCCCTACTCTTCAGTACTTTTTTTCTGGTTCTACTTCTAGTTTGTGACTGAAATCGCAATAAATTAACATCACTAATGAGTACTTCGAATAAGACGTCGGAGAAAGCATCAATATGTCATGTAGGTTTGGTATATTCAATTTAGTTAGAGCATGTTTGGCACATATTAGAAATAAACTTTATTAAAAATGTGCACAAAGTGATGTCTATATATGTAGTGTTACTCTCAAAATCAGTATTCTTTTCAAGCCACAGTTCTGCGCAATAACTTCACACACTAAATTTTCCAGCTTATGTCAGTCAGTACTGTACCCTGCAAAGGTTGAAGATAATAGGTGTGCAATGCTGATGAGTCTCATACTAAGACAAAACAGCCGCTTGATGCTCCCAAGTTTTCAATTCTCCTCCAACCAATGTCAGTCCACGATTAACACTAACATGATACGTATTTATTAGAGTTGGTGTTACTCGTAGGAATTATCCTACTGTTCATTTCTCCCTTGATTTTCTTTTGACCAAATTGACTATCAAAGTGTCAGTGCATTTAAAAAATTGAGTCAACAGAATGACACAAAAATGCTCTCTACTACTGCCAAATACCTCCTGCCAAAGCGTTTGGTCAGCCTATATGCTAGGTAGTACAAAAACGTTTCCAAAGCGTTATTCATCTGATCCCGTAGTTTGTTTTCACTCATGCCAGGGTTAACGAAATTACTATTTATGATAGCTGAGACAAAAAGCTGCAACCATTTTTACATCAAATTACTTGGTAGAAGCCACGCTTATCCACTGTCAGTTTCTTAGCTGTTCCCAGTAATTTATACAGTTTGTAATCCCCGAGAAGATATTCCAGTTTACATATCCTTCATACAGCCTTTCGTGTCAATGGTTATCTTCCTGCTCAGTTTTATTATCTGAAATCCAGTTATTGAAAAGTATTTGTGCCTGCAAATGGATCTTGAAACCCAGGTCTTTCAGTGGCGCTTCAAGAATATCCAACTTTTCTTCGATCTCCAATAAAAAGCTTCTATGTTAGTCTCCCAGTAGTGTACCACCTGATTTGGGGTTTCTTCTATGTATAGATCTTAGAAACGAAAAACTCTGAATCTTGAGCTGCATTTGCTTCTTTTGCAGACCAGAATACCGCTACTAAGCAGTTATGGATTGCAATTTCGTATAAAATTATAAGTCTGAGGTGTATGTTATTCAGAGTAACTGATCTATTGCAAAAGTCAAGAAGTTAACGTGTCAACTCACATGTTCTACAATTCAGTTGTACAAACTTTTAACATGGAAAGCAGCGATTGCTATTTTAGTGAAGTGCTATGATGAAACAATATTACTTTAAATTCAGGTACGTGTCATCAGATGATATGGGCTTGTCAGTTTGGTTGACACTGAGGTAGGTAGACACCATACATTCTCGTAGGTAGTCTAAAATATCTTAATCCTCATAGTAGTATGAACAGTCATCTTCTGCCTCCTTGTAAAACCTTAAAATATGCGCGTTAGGTCAAACAATGCTAACCGTGTGTATTTTTTGGCAACAGCAAAGTAGCTTCACAGGAGCAAGTATGCAGTTTCTATATGACAAGTTTCAACTTAATGGCCTCTGCACAGAAATATGTAGTTCTCATAATGTACAGTATTATAAACAATAACACATTTAATAGTTTTCCCGCATAGGGGAAAGGCTGAACTGTCTTAAAGAGATATGATGGCTTTAGTTTCTGCCATCTTGAGGTTTTTTTAACATATAGAGACTGATGGCTATCACCCAGTTGTTTAGTTTAGCCACAGGGAAGAGCTTTAACATTTCGCCGTTACACCTTGGAAACTGTTAGTAGTTTACAGGCTAATTTACTAGGACTAGAAGACACCTTGATTTTTTCATGAACTATCTCAACGCTTTGGTCAAAGTCATTGGGAATGGGTATATAAAATTGTCTCTATCGTCTATAAAAGGTGACAGTACACGCATTCTTGAGACAAAACACCATCATGACTATTAGAAATGAACGCATCTTTTCTATTCTGATACGCATTAACATGGATAATGAGACAAGATTGCATGCCCCATTCCACCTACCGAGGTTTTGGCAGTCAAGGAGTATCACTAGCCTTCACGCAACAGGTGTGGTTCGTTGCCTACGACAAAGCATTGCTCAAGGTTGCTGAGTGCACTTCGACTTTTTTTGACTGATGGAAGTTAGACTAAAGTACTGCTCACTAAACACAGCTAAGTGTATCTTTGATGCGTTTAAATAAAGGGCTAATAAGGAAAAATAAATTCCACTTAATGTTGACTGACAAATGACAACAAAGAAGACCCAATATGAACGTCATCTAACCTCACTTCATGCAATTATGATTTACCCTATGTAGTCACATTTATTGGGTTATACATGAGATCTACTCACCCTTCCTCCCTTTTAAAGTTGCCCTATATTCTCGGTTCTTGCTTTCTGTCCGCAAGTGTCACCTTGATACCTACTTCTTGCCTCCAGTTACGCTTTCATGGAGACATCTCCCATTTATTTCCTCTTTCTCGTAAGCTTTAGAATACCAACATGCGATCCCCAGTCATATAACGGTGTGTAAAAAGAGACATGGCCCGCCTGAAAAGTTGCAGCAGCGTATAGAAAAATTCCTAAATGAGCGATTTAATAACACAGAGTAGCTTTCCCAAGCATATAGTGCAAAACGTTTCAAGTTTTCAACTAGAATGTTGTAGTTCAACCTGTTGTGAAACGCATAATCCTCAAGGAGACTCTTTTAATTGCCATATTCTTCTGTTTAGAAAGACCACAAAATACTCGTTCTAATTCTTATAAGTCCCAATAACTTGGTGTGCGAATTATTAGTAACCATCATGGCATTATGGACGTTATTCACTGAAAATAACTGAGAGTACATGGACGTTGCTTCCTGCCGTGAACTTAATTTCTGAACACCTGTTACTCTCATTAGTTGTTCAAGACCATTTGATAAGTCGTTGTTTAGAGGTTTAGCCCCAGGTATAGGGTCTAAAATCAGGTCATTTGACTCATCATCATGCTTTGTTGCCTCACTCACTCATGATACTGTAACTAGTTAGCATAAACATTTTGATTTAACTATGCAATTCGATAAATATGCTATTTCTATTTGACATCTAACTTATTATTTCTTCTCGACCTCATATAAAGTGTGTTTCTTACAAGTGAAACGAATAGGTATTCACTACCTCCACTGGTCAAAGTCGGGCTCACAACCTTCAAACTGTTATTAAAAGCTATCCGATTTCAGTTGTAGTATTTTAGACAGCATTCCTCTTATTCTTAGGTATTCTTATTCAACTGCCTATTTGGAGAACTAAGTTTGACGTTTGGCCTATCTATTTGCAATATTTGGCATAGTCTAACACTTTGGGAATTTTCGATCAACTAAAAGTCGTGAAAGCTTTATCTACGGTCACTGGATTTAAGTTTATAACCTTCCTGAAACTTGGCTACTGCAAAATAGTGCAGAAAGTAGATCTTTAAATTGATTGAACATTTCAAGTTATGTACTAAACTATAATGGGCCCTTTCTTGATATTTTTTCTAGCCCTTGCATAAGAGCTTTGTCTTGAAAATTTCGTCACACAATTACCATTTCATACATTGGGGCTGCGACTAAGAACAAAGAACCAATTTTGAACTGTCCAGCCATGACAATCTTTTTAGCATCTCATTGAATGAACCTGAGGTCTACTTCATAGGAATGTTCTAACAATTCGGCAGTGCAGCTAGAATGCAATGAACTTTAATATAAATCTATACTTAACTGAATACTGCGCTGGTAAATACATTCTAAGACTATACCAACATGTTACTTATACTAGGCAATTAAAGTCTCTAAAAAAAAGAAAGACAAACACAAACAATCTTTTGGTTCGCTAAGTTGACGAAAAACGATACTGTAGGAGTTCACGGTACTTGAAGTGCTTTATGATATTATCAGACGTCACAAAAAGTAACTTATTGGTCTATGCAACTGAGTTTCAACCAATGAGTCGAAGATACAATCATTTCTTCACCTAATGAATTTTCGGATGCGAAATTAGTATCATCAGCTCTTGTCTAACACGTCTGAACAACTGCTGTGTACGCAAACTTCTGCATGGTTACTGATCGACACAGTTAGGCCGAAAGATGATTTGGATGCAGTGTACGTAGTAGTATTCGCATTGTGTATCACTTAAGTTCATACGTGGCGTACTTCATACAACTCCATATGAGTCGTACAGCATCAAGATGTTCTTATATTTCTCATCTGCTGTTGAAATTTCTACCTCGTTTGTGTTTTCATCACTGCTCTTTTGGGGAAAATATTTAATTCCCTTTTTATACAAAATATAAGTCACTAGAATTCCCAGCATTTATTGGTATTAACCAAAAAATAATTAAGAATAAAGTAATGACTTACTGTTACATCTTGGTATGTAAACGCGGGTCATTCCATATGATGAATAAAAATACAAGAAATAACCTTGATTCTTATCTTTTATCATTCAGCCAAAAAGTCACATACAACAGCGGATAGTTACTACTGCAGTCTACTCACCGTGTGATACAATTATTGTCCAGTGTCACTACTGAGCATAATTTTTTATATTATGACCTGACTGATACCTAGTAGAGGAGTAAGACTCAGGTACTGTGGTCGATTGTAATTTGTCCATATTCATATTATATCATATGAATATGGACAGTAAATTGTGTCCGAAACGTTATACAGTAAATGATACTGTTTCGCTGTGTGACATTTCTAATAAACAGACTAAAATGACACCTAGTAGTTTTTATCACTATCGGACTCAAATTTTATAAGCAGAATGGTTGCGTGCGTGTTAATTGACTCGAGGATCTCAAGTTCATTTTTTTGAGAATCTACGAGCCATAATTAGATAGTACATAGATATGATCTGTTTCATAACTTCTATTCACAACAAAAATATGCCCAGTAGCTCATTGGTAACGTCCTGGTCGCAGAAACTGTAGGTCCTGGATTCCATCTCTGGCAGGGTCATTGGTGCGCATTGCTGGGGAGCCCTATGCTAGGACGAACCAGCTGTACAGTGCTTTCAGGTTTTTAATGCTTTTGTAACTGATGTCAGTCCATGATGAATACCAACCTGAAATTAATAAATCCCCAAAAACCTCAACAATGAAAAAAAGTATTCGAATTTATTATCTCTTTTTAAACTAACCAATTTGTTTATTTGTTAATAAAATGATTGCTCAAATGATTCATTTTTAGGTCTCAGTGTTTTATCACGGTTAAAAGCTTTGAAAGATATGGACTTACAAATTCTTAAATCACCTACTACTCATCCAGGTACTCCGTTGGCGAGGTTAAATTGCTACCAAAGGATATCTTGCAATACTCTGATGGTAGGTGAGTAAATTGTTTGAATTCTATCCACTGAAACGATATCTTCACCTTCTTGTTATTTTTCTTTTTGTTTGAAAATTTGTATTTTGAATAGTGAATTTGTCAATTCTTACAGTTTCCGAATTTCTGTCTTTGTAAGCTGTTTAAGGTTCGTTGTGTATAGGAAGGAATTATCATGGAGGTAGTTTGACGTTATTATTATTATTATTATTATTATTATTATTATTATTATTATTAGTCCCTTGGGTTCCTAGTGGAACATAGGGCTTCAGTAGCACGTCTCCATTTCATCCTGTTCTCTGAGATCTTTTGAACCTGGTTCCACGACAGCCCACAAGCTCTCATTTCCTCCTCGCACGACCTTCTCCATGTCACCCTCGGACGTCCAACTCGTCGCTTCCCATGGGGATTCCACTCGAGCAACTGGCCTGACGCGTGATGTCCTCAGTCGGCCTTCTCAGTGCATGGCCAATCCATCTCCACTTCTTCCTGCATATTTGTTGCGTGATAGGTTCTTGGTTGTTTCGTTCCCAGAGTTCCTTGTTGCTTATTCTTTCTGGCCATCTGATCTTCAGTATCGAGCCAGCGTAAGCAGTTGTTGATGAATGTCTGTAAGTTTGACGTAACTCATAATAATTCCTCTTGATATATAGTTTTCAACCGTCCATGTTGCTCCAACTATTAAATTCTTCGTTTATTTTCATCTGTTTGTTAGATATTATTATTTGTTCCTTGGGTTCATAGTGGAACATACTGCTTCAGTAATTAGATATTTTACGATAACTTTATTAAAACTAATATTCATTTCCTTATCTGCCGTTTATCCCTCTTAAGGTAGATGTAAGAAAGTGGAAAGAAGAATTTTTGTACTTCTATTTAACTATAAACTCAGGTTTATACCTCATTCATAACAATAACATTAATAATAGTATCCCATTCCTGAGTTGATAGATTGGGGATTATGCATTAGATTAACGAATAATGAAGATTTAGGTATGTAAAATATTTAACGTTGGACCACAAATAACTAATAATAGCTAGAGATGATCTGAAGTGTTTTCTTTGTGAAACAAAACTAACAGAAGTAATAAAGAGAGCTAGGTAATACCTAACATTTACTCTATCTTGCTTGTAAACTTTAAAGCTAGTTATTTGACTAGTTGTTGTGCTGAACCGCCTGTACTTTGTTTGAAAACTTAATGATAGTATACTTATTGGGTTGGAGTTTACATTCAGCAGGAGAATTATTCGAACGTTTCGATTCAGTTATTTAGTCATGAAAGAAATTATCCTCCTTTTTTTAAAGTTTATCATCAAAATATCCTAGCATCTAGGAGATAATTAATCGGAAATCAAAAATAAACACTAACTGTTGAATTGAATTTACACTAGAGTGAAAATTTCAATGCGGATATTTTTTCAAACACGAAAAGCATACTCGATAGAAATGGATAAAGATATGTGAAAAAGAAGACAGATAACTTGAAACGTAAATGAAATGTATTAACATCTTATGATAAAATCAACTTACAATAGTATATGATGTGCAACCAGAAGAATGATGCGGTACGGGGAATCAAAATTTGGAATGTATTACACTAATATTATGAAGCGAAAGTAAACAAGATTGGAAAATATGGTAACAGAAGAGGTGACTATTATGACTTAGTGGATAAAACCTCGGCATTTCAAGTGATAGATACTGGGTCCATCCGGCTGAAGAGTCTCAACTAGGACGAAATATACGTTCTGAATTCCGTTGCTAGTCATCACCAATTAAATTATATAATAATTAAATGCATACCTCTGTCTCAGTGTTCTTCAACAAACTAAAAAAAATAAATCTTAGCTATTTTTGAAGCCAATTTCAAATTAGGTTATTTATTTGGTATATCACACAACGACATTATTATTTGCTGGTAGACTTTCTACCGATAATTTAGGCAACTTAAACTACTCTTTTATTACCGCAGTACACAGAATTCAGTGATAGCTGGCTTCAAATAATACGTATATATATATGTCCAACAACTCTACCTTTTTCAAACACTTTGATCTCTTCAGAATTGCTCTTATCCAGTGAAAACATCAAATAGGTAATTTTGAAGAAAGGTGGCGTGTTTACAGGCGTAATGGTAATTGTCATTCATTGAGTGGGATCATCTTGAAATATCGGTTTAGGTGACCTGAACATATGTTAAGTATGTCATCCCGCACCACTCACTGTTCGCTTGCCTTGCGATTGGTTGCAACAAGTGAGAAGTGGTCAATATATGACTTGATGTCATGTTATGAAGGATAGCTGTGTCAAGTTACTATTGTTATGTACCTTACGACCCTCTGAATGTGTTTCAGGAGATCACTCAACTCAGTTGCTTATGACAACACCAGGTATGACTTTGAGTCGAAATCGGTGGTGAATGCCTCTTTGAGTGTATGTTTGAGACTGCTTCTTCAGTAATCCACTTCCACTTTTTGATCTCACTCTTTCTCTCGTCTTTTGTGTCTTCTCAGTGTTGCTTAATTATTCTGCATGACACATCTTTTGGTACGCATGTTGTACCAAGATTGTTTTCGAAATAAACTATAACAGAAAAACACGAAAAAAATTCGGGACAACTGATAGTGTGTTAACCTAACTAAAGATAATGATTCGTCAATCAAGCAGACGAGTTTTCTGATAATGATCTTAAGTTGTTGGCATTTTCCACAGGCTAATATTACCTATTCTTTCATTTTATATCGGTAACAGAAAAAACTGCTGAATACATTTGTTTTCAGGTAAAGATCCAACTTTTGTCTCAAATAGGAAAGTAAAGATGTCAAACACACAAATCAACGACTACTTAAATAAAAAGTTTGATCACTATCAACAATTAACTAATTCTCTGACTGCAATGGATAGAAGGTTGACAAATATTTTGCTTACCAACATTTATGGGTTCCAGAGATTTTCATCAAATCTTTAAAGACAATCTTTACTTTTCTGAAAACATATTTTAGATAACTGTTAAAGACAATCATTGAAGTGGAACAGCGGTAACTGACCAATCATGCCTTTAAAGTTTTGGTTAAGTGGTAGTGAATTGTGTTAAAATCAAATGCATACTAACAGGTTAAGTGAGTAAATCAACCAGCAAGATCTTGATTCGACAAAAGTATTTGGCAAATATGTTGAATAAGTTTAATGACTATCTACTTAGATATGCAATACTGGCTGATGTAGTAGTAGAACTTATACTGTTATAGGATAATCAAAACATGTTATGACACCATTCCTTGAACATTTTTCTATTCTTCAGTCGTATAAAGAAAAGATTCAACTTTGATTGCTATTGTCCTACAGATAGTAAAATTTATTAACCTTTTAACACTGAGTAACACGATTTGGAATTTTCCTGACTGCCAAGAAATGATGTACACTTGGTCATGATACAAAGTTCAACAGTTCAGTTATGTTTATCTCTAACCTCAAGCACGTAGAAGATCATAGTGGAGCACATATACTTATTTATTTTCCAGATCATGAGCATTTCATTGATTTTTATTTACTTTCTTCTTTCTAACTCTTCTCTTGGATCCTTCTTACTGATCTCTGTTTTATTTCTTGAACTGATTTTTTTTTCAGTCAAAGTTTTAGTGAATAAGTGAAGATTTACTGTCATCCCAGTGAATAACATGTTCTAAAATCAAATATACAACTACCTGATTTTAAATTTCCTTTTCACACCATAACTTTATATTAGACTTATTTATATGATAGGGTACACACTGATAGTTGATTGCGTTTCCAGCATAAACCATTGCTTATAATCCTATCAATGTAGTCATACCACTTTCGATATCTGATTTTTATAGTATTATTACCTCATATTCTTTGTTTTTATTGATAGTTTAACTCTCTATATCTCTGGCACAGGTGTTGCGTCATCCCTATTACATGTGTTTTGTGTTGTTTGGATGAGCAAAGCCTCAATAATCAATCCCTCCCTCCACCTAATTATATTGGGCATAAGTACAGTGGTTTTATCCCCCACTATTGTATGATTATGTATTAATGCATACATTGCAGTAGCCGAGTTTCTTGCTAGAATATTGATATTATTGGGGTCTGTTGTTCTATATTTACCTATATTCTTGAGTTCTGCTAATCTAACTGACCCCAATCGGCTAGTTTGACCTCTGTACTTGACCTCTCAGTCATTGCATGAAATTTGGTGGATCGGAATATTTTTCTCAATTGGAGATTTATTAATTGGTTTCAGGTTCGAATTCATCATAGACTGGTATTAGTTGGAGGTAAATTGGAGACCTGGGAGCATTGGACAGCTTTTTCGTCCTAGTGTGGGACTCCTCAGCAGTGCGCACCTATGGTCCTGACAGGGATCGAACCTAGGAGGGAGATGATTCTAGAAGTTCCAGTTAGAACTCGTGACCGATGGGGACAACCAAATCGAACACTAGGACAGTTACTCAGAGACGGCATTCGATGATGGTCGCGCTATATCGTGAAGTGAAAGAATTGAGAAATATGGACCATTGGCTTCTGACCCAGTGGCACAATGGTAACGTGCTGACAGCAGAACTTGAAGGGCCTGGGTCCGATCTCTGGTTGGGCCGTCTGTATGCACTACTGAGGAGCCCCATGGTAGGCCGAAACAACTTTCCAGTGCTCTGAGGTCTCTATTGTTCCTCTGACTGATGTCATTCTTTGATGAATTTCAACCTGAAATCAATTGACTGGATCTATCGGATCCTTATGCCGTAAAAGCTTATCTATGAGTGATTTTGTAGGTTTGAATGTCACCCTAATTCCAGTCTTGTTAAGAATCCTATATAGGAATGATAGACCACCTGCACCGGAGGTATTGGAAATTTCACTACCAATAAAAACAAAGAATATGGGGGGATAAGACTATAAAAAGCAGATTTTGAAACTAGTGTGATTACAGTAAGAAATAACTTGTGCTGCAAACGTCACTAAGTTAGTATTACTGTATCATCTAATATGGAATCGCATTCAGCTATATTGCTCAAGTTTTCCAAGTTTTCCACTCCTTATCTAATTGTTTGTTTACAACTTTTCACCTCTGCATGTTTGTTTTGTAATTTTCATTTAAATGTTAGCTGGTCTAACTCAAAGATACACAACAGATCATTAAATGCCAATAAATCAGCATCACAGATAACTCTTGGTAGCAGCTTATCTCATCTATGCATCATAACACAAAATGAATTGAGCACTGATGATGAAGTTCTAAAAACAGCAGTTGCTTGTTTTGACGCTAATCAGCATGATGAATATCTTTTTACAGTATCATATAATAGGAAGGATTTGGCGAAAAATTATCGAAGGAAAAGTGATTTTCCAATGAAATTTCATTGTCACTTTACTTTCGTTAAATGGTTTCAATTGCGTAGTTCTGATAAGTTGAAACTTTAAGCGGTTTTAAGTCATTTATGAGTTTACAGTGATTTGTTTACCTTATTGCCGTTCACCTTTATTAGACTGGTACTATTTGTAATTTTGCAATTAACCTAGTATTCTGCGTTATTTTCCTGAAGCAAACGGTAAGTCCCATAACCGCATCTATCTTAACATCTACGGTTTATTAAGTACCAGTCAGTCGTAGAATGCAAGATTTGCATCTCGTTCTATTTCTGATCTATCAAGCAAGGATGTATTTGTAGCCATTCAGGTGTCTTCCCTCAGAGTAGAACTCAGCATCCATACAGAAAGAAGTGCCACAGGCTTATCTAGTAGGCTGCTGAGCAATAGTGATCAACTTTATGTTCAGTGCATACTAGTTGTAATCGAAAGTTGAATTTCCCAGTTAATGAGTTTTTGAAAGGCCCAAATGGCAGCAGAGACCAATATGTGTACTTCTTTCTATACAGTAACCTGGAAAATTATAATCTGATTACTCCCAGAAGTCAGTGAATAAGACACGTTTTTTGCAGCAGTTCACTCTGTTGAATAACACTTAGGCATTTGATATGATGTGCTCTAATTTTCAGCCTTAACAGAAACTCTATAATAAAAGCAGTTTTACCCTGCTGATAAGTTGCATATACAGCGAAATGTGCTAGTCAGATTTCAGTGATATGCATATTAAATTTACTCAATACTTTATCAGATTCAATGTCATCAAACCTATATGAAGACGCTATACAGCAACGGAAGTTAGCTAGTTTAGTCATGAATAGCTAACATTTAGAAAATACAAGGCCTGTCAACTATTAAAGTAATATGCAATAATCGATAAGAGTGATTGACGAGATGGTATCGAAAATAACTGTTGTATCATTCAAATGCTTACGTCGATTAAAAATAAACTCTAACTGTTCATGGTAAATCAAATGTTTTGTATCGTTAACGACTTTCCTTATCTGAAATGATAAGATGTGCGTTAAATTCTGTTTTTTCGACTCAGTAAGTTGGTGGGGAAACACCTGTGAGATCTTTTAAAAAACAATACAACATAACCAAAAGATATATCGAACTACAGTTAGGAAGTTGAATCGGCATCTTCAAGACATATTCTTCATGGCTAATAATTCTTTTCTACTAAGTAATGTTTGCAAATTTTTCGAACTTATATTCATTATTTCCTACTCAACCCAAGCTAAATAGCCCACACTTACTGGTCCAACCATCTAACAATGCAGTTGGTGGGCATATATCTTCATGCCCGAATTGATTGCCTCCACACGTCTAGCATGGCCTGGGGGAATCCATCTCAAGCGAATAGCGAATACTAGACAGTAATCCAATTTCAAAGTTTTTGAGGACTGATGGGTTTGAAGGTATTATAAACGGTTACCGTACTCACCACAACAGATGATCATCATGGGTCCCCAGTGTAGTATGGAACAGCTGCCGACTAATCTTATGTTTAAAATGGTTCTCTAGCTGATGTTATTGGGTGATGGATACTGCTTTGATATCAATCAATCCCTACAAACCTCTAGTCTAAATTACCGCTTTAATTTTATTGACTTTATTAATCAGATACATAAGTTGCTGTATTTAGTGCTAAATTTACAAAAAGTGAATACAATTAAGCATAATTATTGTGATTGAAGAAAACAAAGTAAATTGTGTTCTTATGTTCGCATGAACAATGATTTTTTACATTCAAGTGTCAATAATCATCTTAAATTTTGTTTGAAGCGAGTTCGACAGATGCATATGCGGAACAGAATTTCATTGGTGGACTATTTTAGTTTTTTTCTGATTTGATTTTTGATCATAATTATTCCTGTTAACAAAATGTTGTGTTTCACAGTAAGATGTACTAATGGACATAACCTCTGACTTCTCAGGGATTTACCTGATGACTTTTGGGAAGTATCCCAAAAGTCATCTGGTTGACTTGAAGTATGCAGACTATATTATCCTACTAGGGGAAGATGCTGAAAAATGCAAGGTCTTCTGAACACGTTGAGCATAAATCTGAGTATCATTGGCATGTGTCTCGCACCTGTGGGATTTAAGATGATGCTTCAAGACTGGTCTGCAACCAGTCTCAACTTAATGATAGGGAGTGGAGTGATTGAATGCATAAATCGTTGGAACGGGGTGGTTGCTGACGAGTTCTCAGTTCAGATACTGAAGGCACATGTTGAACTTGTCGGCTTGATTCATTTCTGGTGCTGACTCTCGACTATCTATTGAAAGACGAGTATGCTGCACTGCAGTTTGTTCTGCCATATTATATGGTTGAGACATGACTGTTAAAGTAGAGGATTTGAGACTGTTATAAGCTTTTGGACGCAGATGTCTTTATAGCACTGCTCACGTAAGGCTGAATCATCATGTGAGCAATATTGAGGTTGGGGAAAGGTTCTAGGGAAGGAATGAAGGTCGACTGATGAGGATGTGAACCTGCAGTGACTGCGGTGGCTTGTACATGCTGTTCACGCTGAACCACCACTTACCCAGACGTGCAATGCTAAGAGACGGATTAAATTGGACGACAGCTCAGGGTGACCTGAGCAAGATGTTGCACCAGTACACAAAGTCTCTGAATCTCTGTCTGAGACTTATAGGGAGGTGTAGACAGTCAATCTGGGATCCCAGAGACGATAGGGATCAGTGGTTGGGGACAAGGATGAAAATCGGCCACAGTAACGCAGATGTATTCATTCGTCGATGTCTTCTAAAGCTTAAATATTCTGACTTACCTTCATTTTTAAATTCCCTCTTCTCTCATACACCTTTGTCTCCTTTGATAAATGTTCTTCCTAACCCTCTTTGTATAGTACTGTAAAGTGTGGCAAAATGAACCAATACACTTGTGTGAGACCATGTAGGTTGATTTCGTCTGTTTGTCTATTCTGTTACAAAACATTGATGCCTTTCTTAAAATATTTAAAAATTAGATGGATTTCAAGCGAACAAACTGAAGCGTCCAACACATCGTCACCTATGCTTAACATCAAATCATTATAACCAAGTGCTTCCACCATGGAATAATTTAACCAACTCATTAACTATACAAAATAATAGTAATGAACAAGAAGATGAGAGTTTAGAAGAACTACTGAAACAACAACAGCAACAAAAGCGAACAACGTACATACCTTCGTTGCAATCACCACCTCCAGCATTGTCACTGTCGTCAGCTTCATCCTCCTCCACATTATACGGATTCAAGGATACAAAGAAAACACAAAGAAAATGTCGTACAGCTTCAGTAACAAATCTCAATACCAAGAGTCTATCTGCAAGGTGTACGGCTATAAACAATGCTGATGTAACTCATCAAAAGTCATGCTATGCTGACAACAATTTCAGTAATCATGAAACTGTATTATCAAGTGAAATTTTCACTCTTTTAAACAAAAATAGTCGAAGTGAAGAGCGGAAGCTTGTGAGTTATGAACGGTAGGTAGAAATTTTTTACTTTTCAGTTATTTATTTATTTCAGTCATTTAGTAACTGTATTAAGTTACACTTTAAGTAAGACTTAATAGCTCAGTTTTTCATCTAGCGAGTATTTTGGGGACTGAAGGATTTAAGAGTAATTTTCGAGATGAGGCTGCTAAAATCCTAATGATAAACCATGACCTATGTACTCAAAAGAATCAGATGTGCGGACTAATGCCTACCTGTGACACTGAATGATTATCACTCTGTTTCAAAGATTTATAGAGGTTGAATAAAGTGGACCACTGAATTCTAACACAATGATTGACTCATAACGAGGTTTCTATGAAACCTGGAGTTTCTAGGATTGATCCATTACAGGTCCATAGATGTTTACCGCTGAGGAGTCCAAAACAAGGACAAAATAGCTATTTTGTGATTTCACTGCTTGATATTCAGTGATGAGGCAAGCTATTTGGAAAACTAAAAATATGTCCATATTGATGGTTATGTTGAACTGGATGGTGTAAGAACAACTTTACTCTCGACAAACATTAGTTGGAAAAAAAGCGTAAAGCAAACGATGAGTGATCTTTATCTTCAATGTACATATTTACTGCTTGAAGCTTCAAACCAATGATATCTAGATGAGTAATCAGTGAAAAAATTCACTTAATTTTTAAACTGAAACCGTTCATAACTTTTTTGTTTCTAAGTCACTCAAAACATCACTGTCCCGATAAAATGAGCCTTTCACAGGGGAGAAGGAGAACACTGATATAAAATTCAACACCACTTTGAACAATTAAAAATGGTAGGATGAAAATGAAAATGATGTTAAGTGATCATGAACAATGACCAGTAAAATTCATTATAAGTGTTCTGGAAACTAACAATGGGGAGGTTCACCCATTTTTTCGAATACTCAAGAGACTCCTTTTGGTTAGTCATCCCAAAAAGAACTGTGAGATCTCTAAATAAGAAATCACCTATGGCGAGTCTAGGTAAAACTTAGGTGACTTAGTTTCTGTGGAAATTGTGAAATCAAACTTTTCAGCAATATGTCTTGAACGAGACTCAAAATGAAAGGAATATGAGTGGCTACCACTGATTATCGATCAGTTGCAATAAAATTCATTCAACTTCAAAGTCACAGGTATTGGCAGTGGACAAACATGATCGCATTTGCTATTGTTTTTGTGAGCTTAAAGTAATTAAGTCTAACTACAGTGTCTACAGCATCACGCATTTCTCATTTCCACGAAAATGGATTAGTGGTTTCATTAGAGATGCCCATTTGGAAACAAACCCTTGGTAGCAACTTATCAGAACACTGAAAATACGAACTTGCTTCATATTGGTTGATTTGTACGGTAGTCTGGAATGAGCACTGCTTTGTTTACTAGTTGGCATATGCCTTTGTTGTCATTGGCACGCTGAAGGAAATTGTGCTACTTAGTTCTTATATGACATTTCTGAATGTTTACTGTAGTTCCATGCGTTTTAAGTTTTTTTAAGTTCGTTTTCTTTACTTGGACTTCAGATAAGAACATCATCGACATGTACTCGTACGAATTCAATACCATGAAAGGTGTCATACGTAAAGTGTTGTACCATTTGCGCTATATTGTATAGACTGAAAGACAAACGCGAAAATTAAAATAATTCACAAGGTATAGCAATGACAGTTTCCGGAATGTTTCCTGCTGCCATCTGTATTTAGCTGCAGCCTTTGACTAGGCTGACCGTGAGAAAGATGTTTATCAGACAGCTTTGCGATTAAGTTATAGATATGTGCATCAAGTAGCAATCGTGTGCGATTTTAGTGCTTGATTAAGAGTAACCATCGGTTGGACAACAACCGGCACTATCCCACTTCAGTACTGTACGCGACTGAGACGCTCGTGAGCTATTCGATGGTTAGAAAGGACCTAAATAAAGCGCATTTTCAAGCTCGCTTTTGTTGTCTTCAGCTTGCTGCATGCTAGGATGCGCTGTTTAAATATCAAAAGAGGTCCTGTGATTGGAATTTAGTGTATAACATTCTAAATTATGTATGGTGACGTCTATATGAGATTATACAGTTCTGAATTTTTGTCTCAAACTGGTTTAAAATGAGTTAACAGAATGTTCTGATCCAACAAAGTCTAAACGTGATCTTGCATAGATTTTACTGAGATTAGATAGCTTCACAGTGTTATCTTTAAGTTCTCTTCGATGGTCATCCAAAACACAGGCAAACAAATGAAAGTAGAACCTGGCACAAATGTACATCATTTCAGGTTGTCAGAATTCATGGCATAGTGCACAAATGTGTGGATGGAAATAGAATGGTGTATAAGGAGGCATGAATAAGTGAAGATTAGTGATGTTCAAACTTAAGAGAATGATATAAGTGTATCTCTGTGAACAAAATATATTTTTTCTTATCTACTGGACTTTCAGGGCACAAACATCTATTTGATCCTCGGTGATGATTGAAGGTGAAATGAAGATTTAAACCGCTACCAGATTCGAACCATCGATCACCGGGATTTCGACTTGATGCTCTATCTACTGAGCTACGAAGTCCGACAGCTGACCAAATTTTTATTTCACTTTAATCACCAAGAGTTTTTACCCGACTACCATGTGAATTCATGACGCGTTACTATCGCTTGATCATTTTCACAATAACTGTCTAGTCAGGACCTCTCATCCTAATTCAAATGTAACCGATTATCATTTTGACTATCTGATTCATTCACTGATGTATTATCTGTTGGTATATAGTGTTTTTTGGTCTCTTATACATATTTTTTGTTCTTTATAGTATGTTCTTGACAAATTGTCCAGTAATTAATTCAAATGAAATATGCTGCCTTCTAAGTCTTCAATGTAATCGTATCCATCGAATTGAAAATTTACAACATATGACAAAATTAGTTTATTTAAATATTTCAGAAAATCAATTAACGTCAATCAGTGGTCTAGAAACACTGTACTCATTACGTATATTACTATTAGGACAGAATCAAATAAAACGTATATGTTCATTAGATAATTTATATAATTTAAATGTACTCGATTTAAATCATAATCAGATAAGAACTATTGAAAAGTTATCACATTTAACAAAATTACGTTCATTAGATTTATCTTTTAATTATATTACCTCTGTAAATGGCTTGTCTGGATTAACATCACTGATTGAATTAAATTTGCGACAGAATAATATTCTACGTATTGAACCTATAGAAAATGTTCCAAAGTTGACTTGGATATTTCTAAGTTTTAATCATATTGAAAAGTAAGTTTTTTTTAAAGTAATTTACAATAGGATATTTACTGTTTATTACTCAGATATTTATCAAATGAAATTAGATGAAAAGCTAGTTTAAAAATATAACACCTTTTCTCCAGTTTTCTCTTGAAAGCTGTTGGAATAGAGGCTATGAAATTACAGCTGTCTAACTAGACAGCCAGAATTTTAATTTTTGTTTTATAGCAAAACTTATTTTCAAAATAATCTAATATGACATGCTTTTGTTAAAATCTTAGTCACTAACCTATTGACTTGTGAGAAATATAGCTATCCTGTATATGATGTTTCAAAGCTTCACGTATTGTACTACAGAAACAAGAATACCATTTTACTATCTTCATTACATATGTCACACAGTGATACAGTATTATTTACTGGATAACCTTTCGGACATGATTTGTCGTCAGTAATCAAATCACGTTACTCCAACACTTTGAGACATGATTGATGTAACTCTAATTTTCTCTTCTTTTTTGTGATAATGGTATTAGAACCCTTAATACATGTGGAACAGATATAGAATCACTCCTGTAGCATGTATTTGGTGTTGATACGATAAACAAAGACTTGGTTATCAATCCCCCCCCAACTAATTTTTTTTAAAACTGCCTCACTATATTAAATGATTGTGTCCAGTCGTATGCTTGGCTATAACCGAGCTTTCCTCTAGATTCTCTGTCTTATTGGGATCTGCTTAGCCAAGATTTTGCACTCCGATAACTTAATCGACCCTGATCGATTAATTCGACTCATGTATTTGACCTCTTAGTCATTGCAAGGGATTTGACAAACTAAATTATTTCGCCTAATTGGAGCAATCGAATCTTTTAACCTACAAATCTTGCTTTTAAGTAATTTGGTAGGTTCATCGTATCAACACCAAATAAATGCAACAGGAATGATTCTGTACCTGTTTCATATGTATGCAGGATTCTAACACCCTAATCATAAAAAGGACAGAAAACTAGAACTATATAAATCACGTCTCAAACTTGCGGAGTAACGTGATATGGTTACGGACAATAAATCATGTCCGAAACGTTATCCAATAAATAGTGCTGTATCACTGCGCAACATATCTAACAGACTCTGATAAAAGTACAATATACTACAGTGTCCACATTTTAATCCTTTACTGAAAAAACAGGAAATCAAGTGCTTCATGGTATTCGACAGTTCTTCAGATGGAATTGACTAATGCAACGGAGATCATCTTCAAATAAATAATCATTCCGGGTAGAAGATAGTAACCGTTACAATGTATGCACATAAATAAACTAAAGTGATCAAAATGTATACACATTCTAGGTTTTACAAAGGGGAATTTATGTGAAGTGTTAAGGGTTAGATTACAGACAGCCCTCAATGTAGGTTCCGCACTTGCCAACACTAGCCTGCAATCTTGATATCTTAAAGGTGAGTTACTTAGTGCTTTAGTTGGTAACTTAATCACCAGATCCTTAGCATGATGAATGATTCCTTACGGGGATAAATTATTCACGCCAACTGATTACCAGATAGTAGCCACTGTAGCTGCTAGATCATATGAACTGACTACAGTCTATCATTTAACTTTGATATATCTTGATGGCAAATTTTTTGACTTAAACATTGAGTGGTGCATGTTGACTTGTCGAACGAAAATAAACCCACTCAAAGTTAGGAATTCACTTTCCTGATGAATACAAACAAGTAAGAAACTTGGCTCCAAGCTTATTCCTAATGAAGTTTTAATATCTAGTGTCAAACTCTACCGATAGACTTTGCTCTAAGTTTAGGAATTGGAAGCTTAGTTTCCCATGATCTGATGACTAATTCAGATCATTAAATGCCATGCCTAAAGTATAGATCGAAAATCCTAGCTTCAAGAGCAGTAGACTGCTTCTACATGTAGCTAAATGACAGATATATTATTGTCTAGGGATTCTCTTCTCAATGAATTTATTTTCGAAAGTAAAACAACTGGATAACTGTTAAATTTCTCATCCTTGGATCATTGACTATGTGTTCCTTTTTGTAGAAATTTTATTGCAGTGAATTGTTTTTCTAAATTTGATACGTGGTTTTATAAGTAGGCTAAAAAAAATTGGAAATATATGTAAAGATAAATAGCAAAATGAAGGTGTTTGGGAAAGCATGGTTATGTAATCATTAACTTAGGCGATAACAAGGTTACTGTTGATTTTGATTAAAGCGCGAAATGTATTCGGTACAATTAGATAGTAAAATGTGCATTATATCATGGTAATTTACTTGGTTGTGGCTAGCAGAGGAATCCAGGACACGAGTAGCCTAATGGCCTAGTGCATCATGCCTTGCGTTTGAAGCGATGCGTAGGAGGTTCGAGTCTCATTGGGAACCATATCAATCACTGGGGTGTGGGTACATCCACCTGACGAGACTCAAATAAGAAGAAACGCGCATCCTTAATTTCTCTGCTAGCTATAATCAAGTAAATTACCATAATTAACACTCAAGCAATATCGAGGCATCCGCATAGGAGAGGTCGAAAAATCCGATCCAGTAAAACAATGGAGAATTAAAAGCATATCCATAAATATTAATGTGGATTATACTGTTTAAAGTGGTGATCTTACTCTTGATCATATATGACACCATTACGTCAAAGTAGTTCACATGAGCTTTGAAATTATAAAACGTATTTTATTTTTCTTGTCCGCTTTTTGAGACTTCTCAATACTGTTTACATGAAAGATAAAAGCTAGCTACGTTGACATCGTTGAATTAAGCATTCTCAAGGACTTTTGTTTCTATTTATTTATGCTGATACTAAAAGTCAGGGAATTTTAGGACCTAAAATGTGATGCCATCAAATAGTGTTGGTTCACGGAAAATGACAGAACAAGTGGAAATAGTTATGAACTACTTCTTGGTCAGCATCTAACTGAAATCGAACGGTGAACTCATATTTCACAGAATGCGAAATCAGTTTATTTTACCCTGGTCTTATTAAATTACTGAAGCTATCAACATGATTTTAGCTGACAAATTTGCATATTGTTAGCCTTTTTGTGCTTTGACAGATTCCTATTTCACGAGAAAGTAACAGATCTTAAAACGGCATTATATGAAAGGGTTGAGCAAGCCAGAGAGTAAAACGAAACCTATCATATCTCTCCAATGGTACAAGTTGTGATACTTCAAAATGAAACAGAAAAGAGAAACAGCTAAGCCGGAACAACAAAAGTGAAAGCCAGAATACTACCTATCATGGAAAATAAATATGAGATGAAATCGATGGCACTATTAAGGAAATAGAAACAGTAGCGAAATCCACTAGATTTATTCTAATAAAAAACATAAATTGACTCGTAATAGTGTGAAGGAATCTGAGTTATGCTATTTAAAGTCTCTGGTCATCCATCTTCGCTGACTTAAGCATGGAAGCTATAGGTCTTGAGACAGTTCAGACCAACAGTCAGAGCCTATATGGATTCTTGATGCTGTTTTTGTTTGATTACCTTTAACTTATTTTCAAGTAATTCACAATGGGAAGCTCAGTGATGGCTTTGAAGTGAAGACAGGAGTGAAACAAGGTTGCCTACTATCACCCATGATATTCCTGATTGTAGTGGACTGGATCATGCAACAAACAGTGAGGAGTGAGAAGAGGGGGATACGCTGGACGGTGGAAAAGAACCTAGAAGATTTGGATTTCGCCGATGACTTGTGTCTCATTGTCACAAAAACTTGAAGATCTACAGACGAAAACTAACAAGTTGACAGAAGAGGCAGGGCAGCGAAGGAAGACGGGACTTCAAGTGAATGTAGAGAAGACAGAGGTGATGAAGATACCCAACCAACAACACCACCAACAACAACAAACTCCAATCACCATCAACAGGAGAGACTTAAAGAAAATAGCCTCTTTCACCTATCTAGGCAGCACGGTCTCAACTACAGGCGGCACAGCCACAGACGAGGATGTCAAAGTCAGAATCGGAAAAGCAAGACAGGCGTTCATTAGCCTGAAACCAGTGTGATCTTTTCCACTGCACTCAGCATGTGGAACAACATCCGGATTTTCAACATCAACGTCAAGTCAGTGCTCGTGTATGATTCAGAGACTTGGCGCGTTACGAAAGGGATTTCCAACAAACTACAGAAATTCATCAACAACTGCTTACGCTGGCTCAATACTGAAGATCAGATGGCCAGAAAGAATAAGCAATAAAGAAATCTCGTAACGAACCACTCAAGAACTCATCGCTCAACAAATGTGCAGAAGAAAATGGAGATGGACTGGGCATACACTGGGGAGAAGGCCGACTGGGGACATCAAGCGTCTGGCCAGTTTCTCGAGTGGAACCCTGATGGGAGGCGACGAGTTGGGCGTTCGAGACGAGGTTCATATGGAGGACATCGTGCGAGGAAAAAATGAGAGATTGTGGGCTGGAAACGAAACACTCAAGAACCCATCGCTCAACCTTTGTTAAAGAGTTTCACAAAGTAGCGCTTCTTCCAATCAATCAGTGGGTAGGTATCTTTCCTTCCTTCCAAACCTTCTGCAATAGTGGTGTGGTGTGAGCATGTCAGCTGTTGTCTCTGAGTCAGCTTTCAGTGCTTCTGAGGAATTCCGCCGTCTGTTTATGCTGCTTTCCTGGATTTCATCAACTTTGTGGCATTCAGGACTTCACTCCTGCCTTTGTCGGAGGGCTTGTGTTCACTGGTAATTCTGTGGCGGGACCACTGACTGCATTTCTGGACTAGTTGCAGGTGGTGGTGGTGGCGGCGGTCGGTTCAAGAGTTTTTTGAATTGGTCTGCCTATTGTTTCCTTTATTTCTCCTCTTCATTAACTAGGTCTCCTTCACTATCTTTCATTGATTTCGTCTCTGTTGATCCCTTCACTTCCAGGTAGTAGCCTGATTATTTGATATGGTGTTGTCAGGTCTCTGTCTCTCCTACCTGCAGCCTGTTCTACTTGACTTGCCAATGTGTCATAAAAGTTTCTTTTGTCTTTCCGTGCACTCTTCCTCACTTCTTTGTCCATCGATTGATAAGTTTTACTCAGTTCTTCTTCTCCTTGTTCATCCTTGCTCTGCACACTGGTTCAGCTTCATCTTCTCTCCTATCAACTTCCATGTATTCGTCCAGATCCATTCCTTGTCTTGCTTCTTCTTCTTCTTCCTCTGCCTTCCTAATATGGCTATGCAAGTTTCTCTCCACGTTTCATTCAAAGAGTTCCAGTGTTCTTACGTGCAGGTCTGTCTCTTCAGGAATGTTGCTTAATGTCTGTCATTTTGTCCTGATGACTGGCTAACATGAAGATGTCCTTTGTAGTTTCATCCTTCAGTTTCTCTTCTGGATGTCCAACTTGAACGGTAGTCTATCACCAACTTCTTCGAGGGCTTTCAACTTCATTTTCGAGGTGGGTTTCTTGCACTAGATAGTGGTGTGTAGTGTGTGGTGTGAACCTACATCTGCTCCCCTTCCTCATCTGATCTTGTGTCCAGGAGGCCGTGTCTCCATCTCCACTCTCTCCACATTGAAATGCAATCTAATGTGTCCATCTAGTGAAGTCCATGTAGATGCCTTGTGAATATCCTTGTGTGTGTGTGTGTGTGTTTGTACACACCACCTCCAATCACCAAATAGTTGAATGCGCAGAAATCTGCAAACAATTCTCCATTCTCATTTCTCACTTCACCAAGTGTTTCTCAACCCATGACTGGTTCTCTTCCTGTGTTGTCTGCTCCGAGTTTGGCATTCATTTCACCCCACCCAACACAGAATGAATTTTGATGTCTCCAACTACAGTCTTCTTCAGTAGTGATTGCAGTTGTTTGTAGAATTCCTCCTTCTCCTCTTCCTTCATCTGGATTATTTGTGGGTGCATAGCGTAGCCTTGTGTGATTGTGACTTTCCTTCCTTTCGAGTTGAATCTCGCTGTCATGATCCTGATGTTGGAGGAGGAGATTGGTTTCCACTGCATCAGAGAGAGAGAATGTGTGAGAGTCTTCAATGCTGTTGGTAGGGGGACATCATGATAGCCACTCGAAAACTCAGTATGTTGTGCTCGTGGTTGTCATCTGTGTGACAATATCGGAGTGGATTAGATTATTGACTCCTCTCCAGTTGACAGTTTGGAGAGTCCACTTCCATTCCATCTGCCGATTGCTCACAGATTTCCAGTCTAGCACTTCTATGCTATCTACAACTTTTCATCTCTTTTGGAATCTGGGCAGCCTTGCCAGCCATCTTCAAACTTCGTGTGGACATTCCATGTCTCCATGTTCACTTTTGCTTTCATTGTGAGTAGCGAAGACACATGGGGAAATTGGCTTCCGAAAGCAGGCTTTCACCAACCGGGTCATTTCGTCTCCGTGATTGTAGAGAGGAATAAGTTTATTTTTATTTTTTATATTTCGTCGGTGCTTTGAAGTTTCTTTAGCGGTTGTATTGGTTAAACGGGGTGTGGTTGCTTGCCCTATGCCCAACCTTCCCTCCTCATCGTGGCTTAGGACCGTCTAGTAACTTGTGAACTAATTGACCATGAGAGGTTATATGTGCTGTATTTGAATTTAATAATGGAAAAAAATATGTAGGAAGCATTATTCATCAATTTATATTTCAGATGGTCCCAGGTCAGTGGTTTAGCCGGTTTGAATTCATTTGCTCAAGTCACTCTGGATGGGAATCCAATTGCATCTGATCCTGTTTATCATATGATGATATCAAACAATAGAAATAATTTAAATGATAATCACAATTTCCATCATTCAGGAGTAAGTTCTACAAACTACCATTATCAACAGTATTTAATAGTTTACAGAATTTTATTATAGATCGTACTTTCCTCTGATAAATTTGGGTGAAGTGGGTGCAACAACTTTAACAGAACTTCACTGATCCGTTTCCGTTCGGATCTGATTTGTAGTTTCAACCAAATGATTTCAGTGGTTTGAGTCACATGGACTATGAACAGGGTTGTGTACATATATGAAGCAAGGAAGCAAGTTGGAAAAAAGGGTTCTGGTCAGACTTCCGTGCTAAATGCTGGGATTATTTTACTTCAAACACTCTGTGATTTATACAAATATAACCTACACCTAATATCAGCGTTCCACTCGGCTTCCAATATTCCCAATACTATTTGGCCAAATCTAATCTAAAACTTAAAGTTAATTTAATGAAAACCCTAATTAAAGTAACGTGGGAAGGAGTGGAATATAAAATTGAGGATGGAAATTTCAGATTCTTAATTTATCAATAATTCCCTGATAGAGAGAGAGGTGAAGGATGAACAACAAATTCGCAGACAAAGGGTAGGATATTGTCCTGAATGCCTACAGTTTCAGCTATGTATAAAAATTAAGGTTTCGGTGGTAAATAGTATATAGTCTTGAATGTATTGGTTTTACCTATCAGATGACCACTGTCCACCAGATGCGAAAACCTGAGCTTCTTACTGATTTTATCCATCACTTTCTAAAACATGAACTCTGACACCTATCATCGTATCCACTAAATTGTATTGTAGTGTACCCTTTCTGTAGGAGCAGCTGAAGTTGTAAATATACACGATAACGTAAAACTTGATAACATCTTGCGCTTGAGTCAATTGGAAATGCTAGCATAAAGGTCTTCACGGCTGCTACGTCATTCACTTCTCACCAATACAATATCTAACTAACAGTCTTCAGTTGCATACATGAATTTACTTCATGCGTCGGAGTAGATATATCAAAGGAACAGATTCCGCTAAACCATAGCTATTTCAGATGGTGACAGTTACTATTAATATGATGCTCCTCTCTCTGTCTCTAATTCAGCTTCATTTGCATTGGAAATAAAAGACTTGATTGGGCAGCCAGCGTTATTATGATGAGTGAACAGTTACGTATCATGGATTAACATGGAAGCAGGGAAAAACCCTTGGTGGATGCAGTGGAATTAAGGCCTAGGCACCAGCCTGGTCTCATTGTTCGTAAAGCACTAGGCCGATGATTCGGAGACCACTAAGTTGAATCCTGATGCCATACAGATTTTTATTTGACCATCACTCATTACCCAACAACAAGAATAGGAGTCTGCCAATCAAAATTCGTAAGACATTGTGAATACAGAAGAAGAAGAAGAAGAACAGGTAAGACAAATAACAGAATGTAACGCAATAATTACCACGAAGATAATGTGTGAACGTATCTCTGCCCCTGAAGTCAATTCTAAGCCATAGTGACTATAGTCTTCAACTCCAAACCTGGAATTCAACATCACTCCAGGGCTTAGATCAAAATCCAGAAAGAGGGACTGACGTTGGTTCTACAATCCAAAGCTAGTTCATCATCATTGAAAAGCACAAAATCTTGGTAGCATGAAACTTTCTGCAAATCGCACCAAACCATCAAGCATGATAATACATCAGTAACTTAAACTATAAGAAAGAGGATTATACGGTTTTATATAACATTCAGTAACTTGTAGCAATAATTTAACAAGTCTTTGTGACAAAAAAAATACAACAATAAAATAAAATTTATAGGTAACCTTGACTATAGGAAAAATCTATTCACTTTAAATTGAGTATATTTTTCGTTGCATTGAATGAAGGACAAAACTGTAAGACTTGAATGTGCCAAACCATGTCACGTTACAACTAAGAATAAACAGTTATCTGTAAGTACAATCCAGAAAACATATCAACATCTTATGTCTGCATAGTAATGAGTTATTTGTTGTTATTCTGCTGTATTTCTCTGAGTTTTAAATGCTTTTTGGGTGGCAAATGCTTCGAACTGTTTTTATTTCAGTTTACTTGGGTTTATTTTTTGACTGGTTTCCATCTTAGTGGACGACCTTGAAAGGAAAAGAGGATTTATTAATTCCTTTTATACATAAAGTCATGTGTCGTGGTCATGATGGAGACGGTGTACGATGCCTGTAGAAGAGGATATTTGAAAGTATGTAGTAGTAGGTTAGGTATCCTGTAAATTATCAAAAAGTGGAATCATTATCCGTTGGATGATCTAAGTGAATTAAAAGTAACCAGATGAAACCCATAAGATTATAGGTTTTACGTCACTTTCTTCTGGTGAAAATGGCATATATTCTATGGATGTAAAGTTAAGGCACTTTAGGATTATAGTAATTAAGAATAGATTCAAGATTTCTTAAAAATATACCAGTTGGTAGTTTTTCCTTTCAAACCTAAACTTCTTTAAAAATAACCAAGAAGTTCTTCTCTCAGTCTTTTTAATTTATTTGTCATAAAGTCACAGAAGTCAACATATCAAACAGAAAAATCACCTTTGAATAATTCTTCAAAATGACAAATTCCGTTGTTGGATGTAACATTACAGTTCATAAGGTAATCGAGTTACGCAATATCACTTACATTACCATCAGTTGATCGTGGACTAGTAGGTATAAAGGTGCTTAGCGATTGGTATAAAACAATCTTCATATTGGTAAGCATCTCTGTCACCTTTAACTACTGCTGTTGCCGCTGCTCGAATAACCACTTGGCTGGAATAGTTACCCCAAATCCAACAAGCTTTCTTTCCAACTATAATATTTATCACATAACACTGATTTTCTTCAGTCAATTCCAACTGTTGTGTGATGAACGATAAAAGACTTCTAAGTGTACTCGTTTCAGTCCCAAGCTATCGAACGAAACAAATTACGAGTTAGATAGTTTATTTATTCAGCAAAAGTATTTCAACACCAGGCTACTACTCCTATGTGTACACCGTAGTACAATCCACCTGAAAAGGGTTAATAAATAACACATGTAAATACACATCTATCCATAATTAAAGACGAAAGTTAAAAGCAGAAAAAAATTATTAGTGACCACCACAGATTATTGTATAAAGTAAGTGAAGAATCTAAATTTCCGAAAAATAAGTCATCATAAGGGGCATTTACTTAATGATAAAGTGGCTTCGTACTTAGTAGTCAGCTATCGCCAGAGCATTTAAGATGATAAACACAAATCGAAGTTACATGAGCATACTAATACCAATCTTAATGTTAAATAACTTCTCTACTGCTTACTTTATTTTTTTTTCTAGCTATTAACTCTAGTACTTCACTTTCTTTAAATAACAAATGAATAAGACTGGCTTTCCTCAGTGCCTTATATTTAAGTAGTTTTAGTTGTGTTCTATACCATATTATTGCATAAAACCTTCATGATGCTTATCAATTGATTACCTCTTTTTCTCGTATGTTTATCGAGTCTAAATGTTTTCCACTGCTGAAAAGAATTCTAACTAGTTCACTTCTAGATTCGATCGTTAAAAACTTACTAATGTTCATAGCATCCAGTTCATGTGTTTCTGTACTGAATACTCTTCTAACGAGTTCTCTATTTTTGCTTTGATGCATACAATAGTTCAAATAATAAACGCTATTTCCACAATGTTTATGCTGATGTAAGTTTTCTCTACGTATGAATGAATGAATGAATGTGGCATCGACTTACCTATGTTGGTGGGTTGTTTATTTGATGACTGACTTCAAATCTGTTTGTGTGACAGGCAGCTGATTCCCTATGGTTGATGCGCTGCCATAACATTAGTTTAAAGCTCGTGTAGATTATGCTTTCTAAATTTATATTATATACTTCACCGTCAATACATTCAGCTAAGAAAATCCAACACTAATAACATACTCTTACTGTACAGTCCAAATATATTACTACCAGAATGAATAAAGCAAATAAAGATTTTAGCAAGTTGCCTCTCTGGGCAAACCGATGAAATGCTTTTCTTAATAGACCTAGAATATTCTCGAGCTGTTTTAAAAAGCTGCCTTGAATAATCATTCAATACGCATATATTATAGTTGTATTAACTTAATTCAAGTGGCGTAATTTTGTGCAACGGCAATATTGCCAAAGAGGTTAACTAAATTAGGATAATAAAGTAAGGCAAGAATCAGAAAGCTCTGTTCAGAAGTAATGATCATCTCAAGAAGAAAGATTGCCATTAGTCAGTAACATGTTGGATAACAAACTAAAACTAAGAATTATGAGTGACGGTCTCGGTATTACGACAGCACACCATCAATACTTAGTTAAATACCGGCCTAACAAATCTCATTCAGAAAGAAGTAAATATCTTAAAATCGATTACAATTTACTACTACTACTAGTACTACCATAATCAATTCTATTTTTTTAACGCCTTAAAGCGAAAAAACCAACCTTTCTTGTGTTTTTTAATGATATTTTTACAAAGCTTATTACCTGTGAAAATTATCCTAAATCCATAGTGCCAATATCATCTTCATCTGAAAACGAAGAATACTCATCATCTGGACCGCAATTAACTGCAAAAACAGTTGTCTATAGTTTATCAAATCATTTAAAAGAAAATGACCATCGTAAAAACGATGAAAGTAATCTTGAAAACAAGTTAGTGTTAAATATTTTGATGCCTTTTGTTTAATTAATGAGTTAACTGCTAACAATTCAGAGTTACTGATTAAATTGAAGGTAGTTTTCAACAGAATTTATCACCAATTAAATCAATAATCAAAGCCTTAGACTGGATTATTCTGGAGAAAAATTCACCTTACGTATTCATCAGCTACTTGAGGGTGAAGTTTGGTGTCATGATCTTTTTTCTTTGGTCAATAATATTTTTAGTCATACTAAGTAGTAAGAAATATTATGTTAGTTTTCTTTTATACAACGTTTTTCAAACTTTAACTAAAAATAACCATGAAGCTTTTATGTACTGTCAACACAAACGTTCATAAAAATTTGCCATTAAGGCTTACTGTAAAGCGAACACTTGGTTTTAATTTACTGGGTCGTGGCTAACCGTGGAATCCAGAGTGCGCATTTTGTTTTGTTTGGGACTCGTCAGCTGGATGCACCTGTATTCCAGTGAGCATACACCCACTGGGACTCAAACCCTAGATCTATTGCTTCTAACGCGAAGGAGTTCTCCATCAAACCTCAGCAGCATTGAAGCTAACGCTTTGACAATTGAAGCGATGGATTCAGGGTTCAAGTCGCATCGGTAACAATATCACTTACTGGTTTATAGATGCATCTGACTAAAGAGTCCCAAAAAGAACGGAATAAGCACTCTAAATTCCATTACCAAGCAACCTACAACATAATGAATAATCTGGAAATGTCAAGCCACCAGCGCATGACCCCGTATGCCAACATAGGTTGATCAGTTCGGTTCAATGTAATAACATAAAACTAAAAATATCAATCAATAACACACACGTGATTGTCTGTACAATGTAATGTGAGAACGACTAGTAATATAAGATTAGAATGACAGAGAGGTAAGAAATTCATTATTTTCAGTACTGCGTCACCGATTTATTTAACGGAAACTCAGTTTTGATAAAATGACATACTAGAGAACCTTAATTATGAAGAAGATTGGTAGATACCAAAATCCAGCGTTAACAACTCTTAAGTGGAGTATTTCTTCAGACATTCAATGATACCACGACTAGTGAAACGCATATCGTGCCTAACGTCGTCTACTTTACCAGTACCCTAGTTACTAGACGGTCCTAAGCACGGATAAACGGCGAAGATTGGACATAGGGCAAGCAACCACACCCCGTTAAACCAATACAACCGCTAAAGAAACTTCAAAGCACCGACGAAATATAAAAAATAAAGATGAACTTATTCCTCTCTGCAATCACGGAGACGAAATGACCCCGGTTGGTGAAAGCCTGCTTTCGGAAGCCAATTTCCCCATGTGTCTTCTCTACTCACAATGAAAGCAAAAGTAAACATGGAGACATGGAATGTCCGCACGAAGTTTGAAGATGGCTGGCAAGGCTTCCCAGATTGCAAAAGAGATGAGAAGGTATAGATAGTATAGAAGTGCTAGACTGGAAATCTGTGAGCAATCGGCAGATGGAATGGAAGTGGACTCTCCAAACTGTCAACTGGAGAGGAGTCAATAATCTGATCTACTTCGATATTGCCACCCAGACGACAACCACGAGCACAGCACACTGAGTTTTCGAGTGGCTATCATGATGTCCCCCTGCCAACAGCATTGAAGACTCTCTCTCTCTCTCACTCTCTCTCTCTCTCTCTCTCTGACGCAGTGGAAACCAATCTCCTCCTCCAACATCAGGATCATGACAGCGAGATTCAACTCGAAAGGAAGGAAAGTCACAATCACACAAGGCTACGCTATGCACCCACAAATAATCCAGATGAAGGAAGAGGAGAAGGAGGAATTCTACAGACAACTGCAATCACTACTGAAGAAGACTGTAGTTGGAGACATCAAAATTCATTCTGTGTTGGGTGGGGTGAAATGAATGCCAAACTCGGAGCAGACAACACAGGAAGAGAACCAATCATGGGTCGAGAAACACTTGGTGAAGTGAGAAATGGGAATGGAGAATTGTTTGCAGATTTCTGCGCATTCAACTATTTGGTGATTGGAGGTAGTGTGTACAAGCACACACACACACACACACACAAGGATATTCACAAGGCAGCGACATGGACTTCACTAGATGGACACATTAGATTGCATTTCAATGTGGAGAGAGTGGAGATGGAGATGCAGCCTACTGGACACAAGATCAGATGAAGAAGGGGAGCAGATGTAGGTTCACACCACACACCACACACCACTATCTAGTGCAAGAAACCCACCTCGAAAATCAAGTTGAAAACCCTCGAAGAAGTTGGTGATAGACCACAGTTCAAGTTGGACAGCCAGAAGAGAAACTGAAGGATGAAACTACAAAGGACATCTTCGCGTCAGCCAGTCATCAGGACAAAATGAGAGACATTAAGCAACATTCCCGAAGAGACAGACCTGCACGTAAGAACACTGGAACTCTTTGAATGAAACGTGGAAAGAAACTTGCATAGCCATATTAGGAAGGCAGAGGAAGAAGAAGAAGAAGAAGAAGCAAGACAAGGAATGGATCTGGACGAATACATGGAAGCTGATAGGAGAGAAGATGAAGCTGAACCAGTGTGCAGAGCAAGGATGAACAAGGAGAAGAAGAACTGAGTAAAACTAATCAATCAATGGACAAAGAAGTGAGGAAGAGTGCACGGAAAGACAAAAGACACTTTAATGATGCATTGGCAAGTCAAGTAGAACAGGCTGTAGGTAGAAGAGACAGAGACCTGACAACACCATATCAAATAATCAGGCTACTACCTGGAAGTGAAGGGATCAACAGAGACGAAATCAATGAAAGATAGTGAAGGAGACCTAGTTAATGAAGAGGAGAAATAAAGGAAACAATAGGCAGACCAATTCAAAAAACTCTTGAACCGACCGCCGCCACCACCACCACCTGCAACTAGTCCAGAAATGCAGTCAGTGGTCCCGCCACAGAATTACCAGTGAACACAAGCCCTCCGACATAGGCCGAAATGAAGTCCTGAATGCCACAAAGTTGATGAAATTCGGGAAAGCAGCATAAACAGACGGCGGAATTCCTCAGAAGCACTGAAAGCTGACTCAGAGACAACAGCTGACATGCTCACACCACACCACTATTGCAGAAGGTTTGGAAGGAAGGAAAGATACCTACCCAGTGATTGATTGGAAGAAGGGCTACCTTGTCAAACTCCAAAACAAGGGAGAACTAAGTGTTTTCAGGAACTGGAGAAGGATCATGCTCCTGTCACTGTCAACCCCAAGCAAACAAAATATTATGCCACATCATCCTCGGCCGAGACTAAAAATGCACTGGATTCAAAATTACCACTGGAACAGTCTTGCCGGCTGACTGGCTGTCTTCAGGAAAAACAAATCATGTGCGGATCTGATTGCAACGCAATGCTACGTATCACCAAAGAACAGAGTATAAAATGGCTGTCAACTCTCTACCTCAACTTCATCAACTTTGAAAAGGCCTTGGACAGCGTCGACCGAGAAGTAATTTGGCAGGCAGTTGCTTCAACACTACAGTTTTAGTGCCACAAACCTTTGTCAACCTCATTCAACAACTATATGCCATTGTATATGATGCTACATGCCAAGTGATTGACAACACAATGGAAATCTCAGTGATGCCTCTGAAGTGAAGTGAAGTGAAGACAGGTGGGGGGTTAAGACAAGGTTGCCTCCTGCTATCACCGATGATCTTCGTGATTGTGGTCAACTGGACTGGATCATGCAGCAAACCGTGAGGAGTGAGAAGAGGGGCGTATGCTGGCTGGGTCGATGAAAAGATCCCAGAAGAAGATTTGGATTTCGCCACCGATGATTATTTAACAATGTCTAATATCATCTTGTCGCACAAACTCGAAGATCTACAGGCAAAAACCAACAAGTTGACAGAAGAGGCAAGGCAGTGAAGACGGGAATTCCTTCCCAACCAACAACAATGACAACAGCAACAACAAACATCCATCACGATGAGTGGGAGAAATCCAAAGGAAGTGGTCTCTTTCACCTACCTAGGCAGCATCGTTTCAACTACAGGTAGTGGAACAGACGAGGATGTCAAAGCAGCCAGCGTCGAAAAGACAGTAAGATAGGCCTTCCTGCATTAATGTGAAATCAGTGTGGAAATCTACTGCACTGTACTGCACTCAGCAATAAAGCGTGAACAAGATCCGGATTTTCAACACTAACGTCAGTCAAGTCAGTGATTCCATATTATGTTTCAGAAACTTGGGGCGTCACGAAAAGCATTTCCAACAAACTAAAGATATACATCATCAACAGCTGCCTACGCTCACTCGATACTCAAGATCAGATGAGATGGCCAGAAAGAATAAGTAACAAAGAACTCTGGCAACGAACCAACCAAGAACCCATCGTCTAACAAATATGCAGAAGAAAGTGGAGATGGATTGGATTGGGCATACACTAAGAATTCCATTTGGGCACATCACACGCCAAGCTTCCGAGTGGAACCCAGATGGGAAACGACGAGTTTGGCGTCCGAGGTGAGGGTGACATAGAGGAGATGGTATGAGGAAGAAATGAAAGCTTCTTGGCAGTCGTGGAGCGAGGTTGAAAAATTTGCAGAAAACAGAGTGAAATGGTGAAGTGCTACTGAAGCCCTCTGTTCCACTAGGAACCCAAAGGACAAATAATAAATAATAATAATATCGGGCCTAATAATCAATACAGTTGTTCTGTATAAGAATATTTCATTTACTCTCCGTGTTGCAAAACCAGAACTAATCAAAATAAATACACATCTATGCCATTGACTTATGAAATAGTTCAGATCTGGAAAAATCTTATTCCGAAATAACATAGATATCTATTGTAGTATCAGAAGCACAATAAGTTAATCTAGTTATTCAGATAGACAAATCAATGTGGAATCTCGTAAAGAAGGGTATCAGTTCAAGTTGTCATACTTCAAAGAAGTATGCAAGGAACAAATGGGGAGAGAAAGAGTGATATTAAAGTAAACAGAAGTTTATGA